ATGGACAAATGGAGTTGAAAATTTAACTATAAATGATTGATTATATTTGATTATAAATATTTATTTTTACAGATTTATGGAAAGTGGAAATCTAGTTTTGAATCCTTGAGACAACTTTAAAAACACTTAGAGCTGGTAAATGGAATCTAGTAAACAAGTGGGATGGACAGCTACAATTGTAGAGTTAGATTGAACTGACTATTGATATTAATGATAACAACTATTTATTTTTACTGGCTTATGGAATTTAGAAATCTAGTTTTTTTATGTGGAACAACTTTAAAATCGCTTAGTCCTTATAGTTGGTAAATGGAATCTAGTAAACAAGCGGAATGAACAGCTTGACTTAGATTCAACTCTTATCTATTAGAATCAGTTAACAATGAACATCTATTGTTGCGGAATTAAGGAAATTGGGAATCTAGTTCTACCAAAAGACAAGTAATGGAGTAAGGGTTGTCCTCTACCCCAGAAGCGACATGGCAAAGTGCACCCTTCGGGCGCAACGCGGCTTTCTTTCAGAACATAGCGTCAACATATTTAAATCCACACTTAACTACACATTATTGTAATCATGTCAAATCCTGAGGCAAGTTTTCACATGTCGAACGAAAATAAGCTAAGATTATATTTAATATTTGTGATTTTTTTTGTTATTTTGATAGTGGATGGGTCACAAGATAGTAAAATAGTACAATATTGACTAATAAGTGTTTATAGTTTGTTTAGCCTCAGGCAAAATGCGATCCATTATAATAACGAGCCATCTCTTTCTGTGTGCGTTGCGATTGGCTCAAGGTTCAGACCTCACAAAAGATGGTTTTGGCGAGACTAGATAAACCTTTGACTTGTTTACATTACAAGTGGTAAATGCGTGAGACATTAAGGGCAAATGTCCTCTAGTCTTCTGACTAGCCATTCCCTTCCCTCTGGGCTTGCTCTACCGTATTGCTCAATGATATGCTTACTTTGGAAGACAGGTCGCTTTTCTCTCAGTGAACTTTGCCTTCCAGCGTCACGTATGACAAGCCATCAACCATAGCTGCCTTACGGCTATTCCAAAATCACTTCAAGCCTAGCGCTTTCTTTTTCTGAAAGCGCGCAAGTTACAAACTAATTATCATTGGCTGCCTTCAGGCTGCCGGCATTTTCTATTAATGTTATATTTGGTTTGTTCTAGTAGAACCACGGTGTGTGTAACTAAAAATCTAAAGTGCCTCTGGCCGGAATTTGCGCCGTTTTGAGCTAACTAACCAGCTTATCTTTGATCCAGTTTGCGCAAGTATGTGTAACATATGGTTTGGCTTGGAGCTAATGACCATGAATTCCAGACAATATTTTTTTTACGCAACAGTAATGCTTGGTAGTCAGCTCTAAGATCTGATCGAAATACTGTATAGAATGCGTGCCAGCGAGATATGGAATGTCGAAAGTCGAAAAATAAGATGCTTTTACAGCAATAAGAAAACCTCGCTTAGTCGTCACTTTGAGGTTGAAAGAGAGAAACTTCTTAAAATGCAAAAAGGGAGGGGGGATGTAAAGAAAACGAACGAAAATGACACCAAGAGGGAGAAAAAGGTAAGGTCGAAAAAGAAAGGAAAGCAAATGCAAGTCAAAGCAAGAGAAAGGAAAGGAAAGGAAAGGAAAGGAAAGGAAAGGAAA